GCCCTCGGGTTTCTCTTGAACAGCCTTGCATAATAGATGACAGTCAGATGACTGCAGCGCCGTGTGGCGCTTTGAAAAGCCTCTCCTGAAATTTACGTCGCCGGGCCTTCACAATGTTTTTTCTTTCGGAATGAACTGATGCTGACCATGGCTGACACATTATATAATATATGAGCTTTTCTCGTCACCGCCACGTAGTTTTTCGGCCACTTGATGCCACAAGATGGTGCCAAAGTGATATTTTTATGTTGGACATGGTTTTGGACCAAAAAGAGCGAAACTTTTTCAGGGAATAACCACGGATATACTCTTTGTAAAATTAAGTACATTTGCAAATGCCGAACCACAAATATCAAGCAATCAATGTACGCTATTATATCATCGCTACTCAAAAACAAGTCTCCTCAGTTTACCTTCTCCCCCAAACTGAAGATTAATAGTGCATCTGATATCTTCCACTGACTGAATAATTGGCAACTGCTGCAAGGTTTAAATGATGAGCTACAATGACTTCCTTTAAATAAAAAAAAAAGGGGAGATCCCATTAATACCCTTTATCTCTTCTCCTCTGCTTCGAACCTGGACATATTTACTGATGTTTTAGCCTTGTCTGCCGCAGACATAAATAGTCAGAAGCTGCATTGGCTTTTGGCTTGTGAAACAATAAAGCTGCCAACAGAAGTGCCTTGTAAAAAAAAAAAAAAAAAAAAAAAATCCAAGAAAACAGGCGCTGTCTTTTTAAGGCAAGGTGTGGATTGGTTTAACTACACTTGAGAAAAACCTGTGACATAAATTCTGATGTACAGGCACATCTCCATGAATCACGCTCACATTCACAACTACCCGATGAACAATTTTCATCCATTATCTAATCCGCTTATCCTCACGGGGGTCGCGGGGCGTGCTGGAACTTATCCCAGCTGTCTTTGGGCAGTCGGCGGGGTACACCCTAAACTGGTTGCACACACATACACGCTCATAATCACACCTAGGGACAATTTAGAGTGTTCCATAAACACTTTTTTTTTTTTCACGATATGCAGTCAGCCAAAACAATGTAACAATTTTTTCCTGTCTTTGGCCGCAAATGCAAACAGTTTCAAAGCTAGATATTTAGACTTGGGTAATTGTATTGTTAAAAAAAAAGACACAGTATCGTCTTTCTCTCAAATCAGGGCCGTTTACGTCTCACGCTGCATGGCTGCATTTAATTAATGTGAGAATATGGCCATCTCAACTGGCAAGTAGGTAATGAACCCGTTCAGCAAAAAGCGGCTCGGTTACAGTAAATACAAACTGGAATCTCTGTGTGGTTTAATTAGTGTCATTATTTGAAGGATAATTTATTGGGTACTGAGGGGACTGATGCAACTCGCACTTGCACACAGTACAGTTTTCCATCCGTGCTGCTGAACTGCTCAACAGGACCACGCCTTTGGCTGAAGGCGCAAATCATGATGTGAAAGACGGACAATTTCCGGTGATGTCACTCCAGACATGTTCCGAGTTGTGCTAATAAGCCTCAACTGGGAAACATTTGATCTTAACTTCCTTACTTGTCCGAGGAACATTCCCTCATCGGCGGAAAAAAAGTGCGCTTTCATGTATTTACACGTACAATTGAAGGCTTTACATGTAATTAACATATCCCTTGTCATAGAGCAATGGGCTGTGAAGGGGGATTAGCGTTTGCATGTGAAAGGAACTCCTGTCAACTGTGGGCTGTAATTAGGGTGAACAACTAAGCTTCGACCCAAAAACATCTTCAAGCAGGAGTCAGCGAGCACTGTAATGAGGCATCGCGTTACAATCCACCTCTGCTGTGGTCAAATATTCTCTGTGACATTACACTTTATTCGTCAACTCATTGATAAGAAAAGGGTGTGGGTTGTTTTTTTTTTCCCCGAAAGAAAAAAAAAATATTTGCAAAGCAGCTGAGATCTAGACAGTTGGTACGTTGGATTTGTTTTGGCACTTGCATACTTCAGTTGTTAAAAACCGTATCGAAGATGGAATCTGAAATACTTGATTCGGGCACGGTGACTTTCCAAACACCCTGTAAATGGTGATTAAAACTTGTATTGACTGAACAGTGATTCAAGTACATCAATTGTCATCAAAGTGCAAGCAGTCCAAAAAAAAAACATTAATTTAATGACAGGTCAGGATGGATAATTGCACCACACTATTATTTTTGATTAACTCGCACACAAATATAAAATTAAATTGAACGCTCAAGTCATGTTTCAAAAACTAATTCCGCCTAAAAGACATTACCATACTTCAGTGCCAAGAGGGGATTGGTAAGAGACTTCGAAAATCTTTGAGTAGAAGTTTTTATTGCAGATGAATATTCATTCTATGAATCGATGTTGCATGATATTGATCCTCAAAGCGTGGCCGTTTCCAGAAAAGAACGATGAGGTGCGAACGATGAGGTGCGAAGGCGGACCGTATTAAAAATATATATGCGCCCTGTTCCACACGGGCGAGTGGCGGCTTGAGAGTTTGGAGAGCACAGCGTGCTCGTGATCTCCCACCCAGCTGTCTTCCCTCCTCTCTTGATTTGTTCACCCTGAGAGAAGGGAACCCCCGCCGGGTTCGGTTCCCCCAGAGGAAGAACAATGCTTGCTTTATTCAGTCCTCCATTCATTCAGGCAGGTCAGCGCTCGCATCAAAGCGCTTTCATTAGCTGACATTTGTTAGCTGACTCAAGATCCCGAGTAGATTCCAACATGAAAACCTCCTAGGGGTACCTTTTTTTGTTGTTGTTGCACATTAATTCCCTTCATTGAACTGGTATGCTTGAACTAACATGGACGTACAACCCCGATATCACACGCAGGTTTATTAGCATGCTAGCATGCTAGCATTTCAGCGCGATCCTTTCGATCACACACTTAACTCGTCATGGGTGTAAATCATCCCGAACTGTCATGTAACACGGGGATTGTCTCATTTCTATTCCAGTGGAAGTCCTGACAGCTTTTCTTTATGTGATGATAATTGAGTTTCGGGGCGTCAACGAGGCTTTTTTAGACAGGGTAACTGTAGCGCATATTTTACGAGTACTCAATCAAACATTTTTTTTTTCGCGAAGCACGGGCCGAGTATGTCAGGGGACGAGCTTTGTCACTTGGGAGGCGGAAGATTGAATTTGAGATACTTTTGAAAGTGCTGCTGGCTTTGACTAAGAAAGGCCTCCTGATAATACGCAGAGAAACGTCACGCAAAGGAAAAGAGGAAATAATGACCCTTTTACTCATGACTGAGCCGTCGAAACTTCACCATCAGGATCTTCGGGAACACGCTCTACCAGCCTGAGAGCGAAAATAGACCCGATTCACAAAGTCCCATCCGAAAATATCTTTGAGATGGCTCCAAGGATGATGGATGATGATGACTGACGAAGACTCCCACGACCCCACTACATTGGTATTCCTCAGTGCTTTGATTTTCATTCAGCCGAGGAAACTAAAATCAGGCAATCGGGACAAGGACTTGAACAATAAACTCGGGACAATTCAGGAGTGTCCGGGTCACGTTCATCTTTTGCCGGTCACTCGCCATATTTCTTTTTCAACAACTATTTGCACAGATGCACCGCGTCGCGACATGCCATCCGCCTTCCAAACACGTCCGCTTCACGTTTAAAAGCAGGCCGAGCAGTTCCCCACCAGTGAAACCCTCAAAACTTTATCCTTCTCAGGTGACAAATATAGGCTGCGCGGGAAGCCCATCAAACGGCTGTGAAGTTTGTCAAGGGGAAGGCTGAAATTAATGACATGAAACGGTCTCACGCCACCGCAGAGGGCGACGGATGATTCGCCCCCCGCCCCCCGTTCACGACGTCTCTCCAGTACAATAAATTATGTCAGGTCCATCTGTGAAACCAAGACGTTCAGAGTCACGCTACATGCGGACAGAGAAAGCCGGACGCGGCGGTAATTCTGCTCATTAATCACCTGTCTATAGAGCGGCCTCCCGAGAGCAGCGCTGGGTTCGACGTGCTAATTACAGCAGAATCGAGCGTTCTCTGCGGCAAATGCTCAGAAGGAGCCCTTTTCTTTTCATTTCGGGCATGGAAGGAATGAGGTAAGCCCGTTCTGGTGCATCACTCAACCTCAAGTAATGCTTCTTAAAAACAATGCAAAGTCAAGCACGGTATGTCGTCCAGAATGATGCTAGCGTCGTGCAACAACAGCAACAAAAAACTTTTGGGGGGTGGAGGGGGGGGGCTCCCCCGGGGGGGGGCTCCCCCGTGGTGTAACTCCTTCGTGTGCTTTACTACTTTTCAAGCGTTTATTATTGCCATAAGCTTTGTTCAGTGATCATACTTTTACAGAAGAGACTGATGGTCTTGAGGCATATTTCTCTCTCCAGAAGTACCCTGTCATGCAGAGCTCTGCTACGAAGGCCCTTTTATGTTTCTTAAGTGTGGGAGTGTCAGCCGCTTGTGATTATTCCACAAATTAGTCACAAAAAATAAGCGTTATGGTTTCAAAAACAGGGGAAACAGTCCTTGTGCAACTAGTGATGAAATCAGAAAGTGGTCACTCAGTCTAAACATTGTGTAGTTGGAGCGCAATCCCTATTTGGCACTGTCCATTAAAGTCGTTGGACATATTATTTTATCCATATGTTTGGGTTTTTTTCTTTTTTTTTTCCCCTTGCCCTCTTGCGGGATTTACATCAGTCTATGTCATTAATATTTGTCAACAGTGGACCTGTGAAGGCCTTTGAGATTCTTTGGTGGCTATAGAAACAAATGGGAAAGTGAAGGCGATGGCGACAAATGAGAACACATACTTATTAGCTTAGAATGGAAAACATAAACTTTTCCACTGGAATGATGGAGGCAGCTTTTGTTGTTGGAAAGTCGCGTTTGTCGATACTGATGGGGTTCCAATTCAATGTAGTCCAAGTAAATGGAGCCAATGCCGGTGATACGGATTGGCTGCTTTCTCCGTTCTAATAGCTCTTTGCTTCTTTGTTCACAGATGGAGATAACACCGGAGCCTCATCCCGATGACGAGGGGACAAAAATAAGTGTAAGTCCAAAACCATTAAGTCAGTGCTTCTCTTAAGTCCGCTTCGAATTTTAATCAGTGCTAAGTGGCAGAAATTGGACAATTTAGAAGTACTTGAATGCTGAAAGTTAAACGGCTGTCGACAAGAAAATAATCATTCACTCCCCCGTAGATCATTTTTCTACATTCTAATGATAATGAGAGAAAGTATAATAGCATTTCTCCAAAAAGCAGTACAGCACAATGACATTTGCCATGGTATGGGATGGTCATTTCTGTTGGGGCAAACTTGTGTTTAGATGGTATCCTGATAGCCACAGTACATTGTTTCAGAAAAGACAAATTGTGTGTTCTACTGTCGCAGACGAACGGCAGAAGTCAGATAAAATGCTGGTTAAGTCCCTCCAAACCTTCTACAATCACAGTTTCTCTGGTAGTACATAAGAGTGCAATTCCTGTGGTGATGCACTACCGACTATCTCCAAAAGGTATAAAAGTGACTTTTCATCAAGATCCCAAAGGAGATTAACTGACAAGGATGTGCTTTGACCAAAGAAATGTGGAACATATGGGAATCCCGTTAATTACGTCAACTGGCGGGCAAACCTATCAACCAGCACATCTATAATCCCTCCAATGACGGTGTCTGACAGCAGTCCAGACCAGTGTCCTCATCCTTTGGCAGGATCTCATCAAAGAGTAGGTTGAGGCCAGCTTGGCCAGCGAACCATTTTTTGTTCAACCATCTGATTAAGGCAGCCCAGTGACAAGGATTCAAATTTCAAGCCTGCACAAGGGACGTAGACAAAACAGTAGCTTGCTGATCATTTGCCTAAAGATGTTACATTGTACCACCTCAAGTTCCATACCCAGTCACCAAAACCACTATCGGTGATCAAAGACTAGCCCCTGTACTGTATACGCCAACTGGCTCCAAAGTCCACTAACATCTATGTATTTATTTCTTTATTTTTAAAGGAGGGGTCCCGTTATGTACAGTTGCTGTTAGTTAAGGATGAACTTGTAGAGCTGATCAGATGAATTTTCATGCTATTTTTAATTATGTCCTCAGTGTTCTGCTTAGACCAGGAAAATAAAAATATGATGCTGTTTTTTTTTCGTACATGAAAAAACAAAAATGCGTTATAACATAGAAAGCATCCAACACACGACGAAGTACACTGGAAAAAAAAAAGGTTTTGTTGAATTTACTCAATCTCATGTTGTCCAGTGGTCGCGCGAAATAAAATCGTCTGAATCCAGAAGCATGACTAGACTATACATCTAAATACAAAAAAAAAAAATCTATCTCAATCGAAATTATTCTATTGTGTGCAGCCACTTGACAAAATAAAATTCAGTTCATTCAACGCGCCATTTTTTTTTTCCAGTGCAGATGCATGCAGCCAACAGACAATGGCAACTGATTTTCCCAACACTTTCGTTCCGAGGAGCTCATCAGCCGAATATAGAGGCAGGGGTATTATTAGCATCAAATGGCTTCCATTCATTCAATCATACCGCAGTTTCCAACATCCCCCCTTTTCCTGCACCAAATTCGTATGCATGCTCTTTTCTTCATGAGTCACACGACCGTCTTCAGCACGGTGTATCCAAGAAGCTAATTATATTCAAAAAGACGGGCTAAGATCAAATGAACGGGTCAGCGCTACGGTATTTTGTGTTACTAATGAACTTACTCACCTTGATGTTTTTTTTTTGTTTTGTTTTAATTATGAAACAATAGGGCTCTTGTTATAAGGGCTTTCACAACAACAGAAAAGTGAAAAGTGCAGTTGAAAAATGGAACTGGAGAGTTGTCTTCTTCTGGTTATTCTTGCAGACAGTCAAAGTGCAGGGCAACGATATCTCCCACAAGCTCCAGATCTCCAGAGTCGGCAAGAGTGACGAGGGCTTGTACGAGTGCCGTGTGACACAAGCCAACTACGGAGAGATTGTGGATTACAAAGCCCAAGCTTGGCTGAGGGTCAATGCCTCCGCCAGAGCCAGACGTCCATTGCAGCCCCCCAAGAAAAGCTCTCCTCTGCACCTGACAGACAAGAAACCGAGAAAGTCCGTCTCATCTTTGGGTCACGACAGCATGAGCTCAGATCAGAAGGTGGACTCCTCGTCTTCTTCTCACACGTCCTCTAATACGGATGAACACACCCCCAGCTCAGGTATGTGAATGAGAACGTTGTTGTATCATTTTTTTAAAAAATGGAGTCGGTCCAGGCTCTGGAAGAGCATCGAAAAGGGTGTTTTTATTCATACACTGGGCCACACATTTCACTCCATAATGCATTTATAGTGTGTGACTTTACCCTGCAAAAGTTTAAAGATATATATTTCTTAGCTAATACTCTAATATATATAAGTAATTCACTCTCACCATAGGCATTCTTAATTTTGTCAGTCGGGCAAACTGCATTTCAGGCAAGCCAATTGCAAAGCAATCGGTCACATTTTCATTGTTGATGTGTGCTGAACCCTTTCATGCGTCCTGTAACCTGATAACATGATAAGATGTTCACTGTAGTAACCGCTGTCCCTGAAAGCGTTAACTGGTCTCGGAATTAAAATGCAGATGAAAGGACAGCAATCAGGTGAACGGCCTCCGTGAGACAGACTGATCTAAAAATCCGCCAAAATCAATGGAGTCATTTACATAAAGCTTCCAAAGGCACAAAAAATAAATAAATCCATAAATAATTTAACAATTCACTTGACTTAATTTCCCAAATCAGCAATGAGGAGTCATCTGCCGATCAGGAAAAAAAGTCAAAATCACAGTGAGAGTCTTGATCAGGCTAAAGGGGCAGTGTGCATAGGTGCAGAAAACAAGAACAAAGGGATCTCTGTGTGGTCTGATGAATGCACGTCTCACGCTTGAAGGCCGGGAGAACAAAATGGAAATGTCTCCATTCCGGGGGTTTCCACACTTCAGTCAGCCAGATTAAATGGGAGTGATTATTTATGCGCGCGTGGACACATGCACTCAGACACCTCTGAAATGAAACAAATTGAGATCCCCCAGATAGATTTGATCTTCTCTCCAACGTGCGCTGCGGGTAAATCACATGATATTGCATCTGTGAAAGATATGGGAGGTGACAAAAATTGATGTCGGCCTACGTGCAGTGGTGAAACAAAATGTGAGACAGGCAACCTGACAAACAAGTTTCTAAACACGAAATGCAAAGATGCACGTACGCCGGCCTGCCACACTCACAGTAGCGATAACAGGCTGTTGTGCTGCTCCAGATAAGGGGCTTCATGACGCGTCTGTAGTAAGCGTACAATTTCTGTGACAAGTACAATCGTTGATTTTGGCTCCTTTGCGCCGAACACATCGGTTTGCGCCAGACGCCTTCATCCGTTCATCCACAATTTTATGTACATCTTATCCTTGGCAAAGGCGGACTCGAGCCTATTGCAACCACCCGTACACACATTCTACTTTTCAGTCGAGCTCACGTCCATGATTTGGGATTAAGTCGCTGTGCTCACCCTTCAAAGTAAAAGCAAATCCAAAGGCTTGAAGTGGTTGAAAATGTGAAATCTTCCTGCGATGAAGCAAACGTGCCAACCGGGCTGCGTCTGTCAGTACAAGCAAAGGTTATATGTATTTTTTTTTTGGTTTTAATGTTGGGAATGGCACCGGCTTCAACCGCACAGCGTCAAATCTGAATGGAACAAGGTGCCCTTGTGTGGCTGAATGCGACGCGGCGATATTGTAGGAGCCGGGGCTCTGAATTGTGAGGAGCACAAAAGCAATCCTGGCACAAGGGAGAGACAAGCTTGCGCTGTTGAACAAATGAAATAGCCGTCATCTCGAGCAGATGGCGAAGACCACTCTTGCACGCAGGAGATACAAGAGCCATGTGGATGCATCATCAGTTGGCCACTAGGAAGCGCATTTCGTCAACAAGATGATGACACCTATTGAATTACAATGTTGATTTGTGGCTTTTATCTTCATCCGAGGCTGTTCGTCAACGAGGTGAAGGTTTTTGTTGTCACCCTATTATTCAGGGTTATATATTCGGTTTTAATGATCTCTGAATGTGGATACAAATAATATTTTCCAAAGTGGCGATCATTGAAATCAAATAAACTTGAAATGTTGTGCGTGGAATCCGCCCCTAAATAATGGTTCGGAGTTGAGGACATTGATTATACACGATAAAAGGTAACACTGTGCAACGCTCGCAGGTAAAGGTTTCAATGTCTTAAAAAAAAGGTGCTGGGCGGAGAGCTCAAAGCTCATACCGACACAGAAAAACACCCAAAAAGTTGTATGAAGAGAGTTCAAAGTGTGCCAAGTTAACTGAGTTCCTTAATTGTTCGACCCGTGAACAGAGGATGGAGAAGAAAACAATGATGAGGAAGAACACTAAAGACCGAAGTGATGTTTTTGTGAGACGACCGTTTCATTATTTAAGCGGCTCAGAAAATGGATGGATGTTTTATTTCCTACCCTTACATGGCAGACACAATTTGTTGGGGAAAAAAAAAACGATTGTCATTGTAATAATGGCAGATTGCAGTGCAGAACGCAAAAGATGTTGCATGTTTTTATCTCACTTTGACCAATCAGATCCAACCAACAGTATCTCAGAGCACTACCTACATTTATTTAGACAAAGATACATTCATAGTTTTTTCCCAGCATGAAAAAAAAATGTGTTTCTTCGTTAGATAATATTTCAGTATCTTGGGGCCAGGCCAATACTATACATGGTGTGTGAGTGAAAAGAAGAAAAGCAAACTGTAGCTGCATTCCAAAGGCAATTACAAAAACGCATTTATTACCACATCAAATGAAATCCTGAGGAGGCAGAGATAGCCGCAGGAAAATGTGCATCACAGAACATTGGCCATGCTGAAGCTGTGGTTGCGCAAGGCTTATAATTCACGCCTGGCTTCAGTAATGAATTCAACTCACCTTGAATACAAAAGTTCTTTTCAAATTTCACTGACAAGTTAAAAAGCAATGTTGCCCATTTTATAGTTTGCAGTCGGATTTTTTTTTTTTCTTGTTCAGCTTTTCACTAAGCAGAGCTGGCGTTATACTGTAATAGTCCCCAGGAGATTAAATTCTCATTAGTTTCATATTTTTTTTTTCCATTTCTCTCCCTATCAAACTAATTTCACTCATAAATTTACTGGCCCACCTTTAAATGTCAATCATTTCCCCAGCGGTCAGGCAGTTGAAACATAAAGTCAGCCACGCGATGGGCTGGGAACACCTCCCGGAACCCGAAGCGAAACACAGATTACGACTCAACGATGGGAACAAGTTCAATCAACCCCCGGGGGCTGCGGTGTCGCAGATTATCGGACGGCAACATTACGCTGACGACTATGTCGCAGGGTATCGCTTGTGCTGTGTGTCTGACGCTGATAAATGTGTCTCTGTGGGGTTGCACAGCCATGGGGGCCATGGGCACCTTGGCGAACAGGAACAGAGGTGTGACCACTGAGGTTTTTATCATGCCCCCCTACTGCTTATTTTCTCGGAGGATGAGCATCGTTCTACCAGCTGGTTGTAATGACAAATTCAAATGACCCCATGGAACATTTGTCGGTGTTGAACAGCAAGCGGAACTGTTCATTTTATTTCCATGGGCAACCATCCAGCCTCACAATAATAAAAAAAAAAAAAAGCATAGCCTTGTCAAATCCCAAAAATCTCCTAGGGCTGTCTCCTGTCGAAAGTAATAAAATCGCTTCTGTTTAATTATATAATAACCCCAAAAAATTGGAAGAAAATGGAATGATTTAGACGACAGCCCTCAGAGCATCACAGAATGCGAGCTCACTGATGTCGTGAGACAAATGGAGAAACGCTTGCACCCAAATGCACATTTCCTTCAACTACAAAGACTAAAAGAACCAATTTTGGAAGCAGCCAAAAATTAACAAATGGCCCCGCCAAGGAGGCAGACTTCAAACAAACCAGACAACACAATTTACAACAAAGTCACCAGACAATAAGGCAAACAAGTCAAAGAGACGCGTACCTCTTCGGCTCATTCGGGACAGATCAAAGTGGCTCGAAACCAGTCTGAGCTCCCCATGGAGGTGCTGGTGAGTCACTTCGTTAACTTGTTGAGCCGCGTTGCCTCGCAGGCTTGAAATCGATATTTCACGGGACCGTCTCACTCAACCAAAACATTTGGGCAAACTTGTGTTTGGTTAAATCGAACAAACTGGTCCATTTTGGCGTTTTCAACATGGGCGGACGCACAACAGTGTGCCCCAACGATTTAGTTTTGCTTTTGCAGTTGACTGCCAGTCTCACTGTACAAGGAATGCCAAAAAAAAATTGAACACCAGAGGCGTGCTTAGAAAGAGCAAAATAACTTCACCTTATTGTCCTGGATGTCGATCATGAATATTTACTACCAGTAAGTCCAAACCTCTCGCGTCACAAAATAAATAAAGGTTATGTCAGAGGATAAGCAGGTCAGGAGGAAGAGGAGAAAATGTTCCCCCTGGGATGCTGGAGAGGTGAACTTGACTTGCCTCAAAATTAATTCAAATGAACTAACGTGAAGATGGTATGAACAAGTATTTCAGATAAACAGGCTTGGCATGTTTCCAGCGTGTGTGTTTTGCCCACGTCTAATCCGAAACCTTTGCCTTCCAAAGTCAGATTTGAGTCGTTTGTAAACACGAAATTGTTCCCACTGCTTCTCATTCATGGCCTGGCAAGCTTTATCAAAAAACAAGATGTCCCATGTCTAAGCAAGGAAATTATTTTATCAGGCAAGTGGTTTGACTTTTTTTTTTTTTGTGTATTTTCAAGACTCGGAGCAAAATGGGTCATCATTTTTAAGATAAGAAAACGTAGTTTTGTGTTTATTTGGTTCAGAGTCAAAAGAACCAGCAACAGAAAAGGCGCAAAACCCTCCGAGCCTTTGCTTAGTCCTCAGTACCTCTAAAAGTGTCTGGTCCACAGACCTGAGACAGCGGGAAGGTGCGTTGTGGCGGAGAACCTCAGAGAGACAAAGTGGGGCGTGGCCATTTGAAAACAAATAATATAATCTTAAAAAGAACTATAAAATGTATAGGGAGCCAGTTCACGGATCAAAGAATAGGAGTTATGTGCTCCCAATTACGCTGAGCAGGCAAGAAGCGAGCAGCAGTATTTTGGACCAACTGGAGACACTTAATGGAGGAACATGGACAGAGGGGTCAAATATGGTATTTGACACTTTACCAGACTTTCTTTTAAATAAAAACATGGGAAAATCAAAACAATAACAGGCACTCCACACCAAGATAAGGAAACTTTGTCCATGCAGGTAATCGTGCTTCAGTTGGGTTTAGAGTGTTTATAGCTCATCTGTGGCTCTGTTTGTCATTCCGCCTGACTTCAATGTGTGCTTATGTATGACTGTGTTGTGGGGAGAGATATGGTTTGGAGATTTTAATAAGCTGTGATTTGGATCTCCGCCCCACAACACTTCCAGTCCAGCCCAGACAGCAAAGAAAATGGTCTCCCTGGACAAATTGCCATTTAGAACCCTATTTTCATCTGACCCGGCAGTCATATGAATGCCAATAAACTATAAAAGTGTTGTTGGCAAGGCAATTTCAACTCGAAATGACATTTTTCTGGGGTTGTTTTTGCAGCTTGCCCATTTACTGTAGCTCATCATTTTGTCATAAGAATCTAAAAAGATCAACTTTTGACATCACGTCGCAGGGTCCGAATACCACTTGACGGACCAACCGAGCCTCATTTCTTACGTTGAGCGTCAACAACTACTGCGCATAACTGTACCTATGAATCAATCGTGATAGGTTCTCAAGTTTTGAGTTCAAAAGTTACGATGTTGTTACAGCTGTGGCCTCTTAGACACACTCATGCAGGAAATCATGAGCAAGATATCTGTTTGCAGACTATGAAATGATCTTGATAAATGCTGGGACTGCAGCCTAATGGACTGAAACTAATGAAATAATGCTGTGCTACATTCGGCATGGAAACGCATTTGTAAGTTGCATATGCAGAACCCTGTTACAACTGCCTGCACAGAATAAAGTGCAATGGCCACTTGGAGGGAACCTGTTTTCCACCAACGAGCTCATTTTTAGCGTGACAGCGTGATCATGAATGTGTGGCTAACGTACTCGTTGTTTTTTCTTCTTTTCACAGGTACAAGAATATCAGCCTGCTACCGACTTGTTGTCATCCTTCTGGCTTACGGTTTGGTGAGGGAGGCCTTGTTATAAAATGCAGAGGGGATACGTATGAGGAACTGACTCGGTTGAAACCAGATCTCACATTCTCTCTGTTTGCTCTTAAAGTGAACAAGAGATTTGCTTGTTTTATGTCCTCCTCCAACACCACCATGCGGACTTCACAGTATAGCCTCATTTCCCAGCCACTACAAGCTCTTGCACGGAGCACATTATTATTATTAGCCACTAGAAAAAATAGATCTATATCTGCCTCCTTAGAATCAAATGGATTGATTACCTTTGGTACAAAGGTCATCTTTAAAATCACCCAAGGTGCAATGCTCCAATGTGAAAATGGACTCCTGTTAGATAACTCACATGGAGGAATCACTTTCTTATGGTTTCGCTGTTCCGGGCTCATGTGTTCATTGGTGAAAATGAACAAGGAAAAATAAGAATCTATATTTGTGTTATAAATATATATATATATGAAATTATATATATACATTGTTTTATTTTAAACACCTAGAGTTAATGTTTGTGCCGTAAACGTAGCTCACACTGACACCTGATGGTTCCTGCCTTTCATTGTGAATAGGCCCCTTTCAACAACTTAAAAAAAAAAAGATCAAGCGACTTTCATTTTTGACTGTTACCATTCGCCTTCATTTATTTCATTTGTCTTTAAGCTGTTCAAATGATCTCGTGCGCATACATTTACATCTCGTTTGTGATACAAATGTGCATGCTTGTTGATCAAGGCCTAAAAGGGGAGGAGTGCAACGACATTATTTGAACATGAGTCAGCACTTGGCGTTCAGTGTTTCAGTATTTGAGATTTAGCTTTATTTCGATGTGCTAGCTTTGATGTGACAAAAAAAAAAATTACGAAAACATGTCTTTGCCATTTTTATTTGTATTGCACCCTCTGAATGAATAAAATGGATGTCACAATTCATGAATAATTCCCAGTATGTGACCACTGAAGAATTCATTTAAACTGACCAAGACGTTTATTGTCCAAGGAACGTTTTTGAAATTGCTTGCCTTCCTGTGTGATAGATATCTCATTACAAAGATAATTTGACTATTTGGCCAGAGGGGATAATGGGGTTCCGCCAACTTTGCATTTTGCTGACACACACCTTGCATAATAAAACGCTGCGTTTCTGAGTGAGTTATGACAGAGAGTCTCTTGAGCAAATATGTTGTTTGGGAGGCGAAACTACTTTATGTAAGATCTAAAAAGTAATAAACATCCATGCAGAGCATTTATTAACTAATTGCTTCGACAATCTCACGCTGAAAGGCAAAACTGGCTTGACGCCAGGTACAGACAGTGATGTCGCTGCATTACAGACTACTTTCTCATGACGTCAGACCACTTCCGCTTTGTCTCTTCCAGAGGTCATTGTCATATCTGCTATGAGTCTTCACTAATGGAATAAGATGAAAACAAATAAATCACAGTGTGCGACTCCTTATTAGTCACAAACAGCCATCTTTCATTTTGTGTCGCGGGTTGCCTCACTTCATTCGGATCGTGGGTGAGCTGGATCCTATCGCAGCTGACTTTGAGAGGCGGGGTACGACCTGGAAAGGTCTCCAGCCAATTACAGGGCACGTAAAAGAAAAAAAAAAAAACATTCACACCTATGGACAACTTTGAGTCAGCATTTAACCCTCAAGATGCATGTTTTTAAAAGTATCCACAAAAAAGCATTGACATAGATGACATATGGGAAAATGCGGAGGGACCCAACTGAGTGTTTTGTTTTGTTTTTCCAAGTTGCCTGTATTCGAATGTATCCGTAATCAAGCCGATCAGATTTTTGTCTGACGACCGTGACGTTCCACATTGCCATCCAACATGTTCATCTAATGGGCATGTTTGTAAAGTCGGGACACTGTATTTCAGATACAGTAGTCAACAGCACCGGAGTCCCACAGGGAACAATCCCCGTCCCATTCCTCTTCATCTTGTACATTTCATGTCGAGCTCAGGCTGCTGCCGCCGGCAGAAGCTCTGTGACAGCTGCTTTGTCAGCCATGTCAGGGATGACGATTCTGAGACAGAGGACCAAATTCACGGAACCGCTCAACATCAACACAGAGAAGATGAAGGAGACAGTAATGAAAACAGCCTCCCCACTTGCAAATAATGAACATCCAGGGAAAGGACGTACTTTCCAGCAAGTGGATCTTACAGCGAATGAGTTGTTCGGGCGGACAACAAAAAGGAATGACAATAATCACTTTTTTTGTACCGCGTCTGTGCAAACAAATCAAGTGCAAACGCTATCTGCCGAGGAGGCTCAGGTCATATGGCATAATGTGGGCCCTCCTGGGGGCATGCGTGACTTAATTTTGGCAACAGACATTTTTCTGGGAGTGGCATCTTGGTGACTGGGATGGGGAAATCGTCACAGACTAATAAGAGAGGCCAGCTCTGTCCTAGGACATACCTTGGGAGAGTGGCAGAGATGGGAATGGCTGATGGACAACGACTCCCACCTAATGCAGGACGCCATCAAAGCACTCAGGTGCTGCTTCAATGTCGGACTCCTTGACCCCAAATGCTTGCAGGAGGTACTGCAGTTCCTTTCTTCCTGCTGCTGTGTTTTTATTAATTCATCGATAGATTCTAATCCACTGCCGATACTAATAATTCTGTTTTCATCTTAATTGTACATGTATGGTATTGTGATTTTGGTCACATTTGCAACTAGTATTCTGAAAATAGTATTTTTTGAAAGGTGTCAAGGCTCTGCTGATGACGCTACTGCGAGTGGCCCAAGTGTTAATTTCCTTCCCAACAGCTTGAAAACATGCTATTTATCAAATTGTATAGTTTTCTGCATCATAAAATGCTGCTAACTATTCTTGCTGTTCACAATAACCACATTTTATAGAATATACTGTAGTATCTTTTTAGACATTGTTGTTTTCTCTTTCTTCATTGACTGATGCTGGAAATATATATTTTGATTAGATTTCTGCTTCTTTATCTTTGTGCTGCTACTGTCCACTTTGCTCTTGTAGAATCCAAATATACCCATTAAATTACTAATAAAGGCACGTTCTATTCTAATTTATGACCAAAACTGGCCAGAAATCAGACTTTCCCATGAGGCTTTTAGCAAATTATTGTCTTTATTTCTGTTTCGATCTACGGTAATTGTTTTAGTGTTGATTTCTGGTTTGGGTGCTTTTAGCTCTGTAGCACTTTGAGATTTTTTTATTTTTTTTTTTAATGAAAGGTTGTTTGTGTTATCTGTATCCTGAAATGGGCTGGGGAGGACTCCATGATGTACACCACCTCTCATGCCAAGTCAACTGGTACGGGGTCCGACACACCCGCAACTCGAGTGAGCAGGAGCGGTCTAAGTGATCGATGATAGTGAATTAACGATTATTATTGTAGTAGTAGTAGTAATAGAAATTGACGTGTAATTAGGATGTGGATGAAGTCACACCTCCATAATTGAAAATACAACTGATGCTTGTACTGTTTTTACACATGGTCGCCATGCTTCCCTTTTTTTCTATCCAAATATTGAATTCAACTATTTTGTCCTTGGTTGCTATAGTTACGCAAATCTGAATTGGCACTGTTACACCTCACAGAACATGGAAGAGGAGTAGGCAGGACCTTGCCCCAAACCACTTTTTAATTTATTGAAAAGTATAAGAAAGTGCAACATAACTCCAATCTTCACTTTATTTGTTGTCTTTGTAAGTACAACAATAATAAGCTCACATACTTTCATTTTTTTAATGTGTCTGTGTCTTAATTTATTACAAAGGGGAGATTTGAAGCCAAACCCCGAAAATGACAGAGTGGAAATGGTCTGACCTCAACCTGAAAAGAGTCCATTAACTAAATGATGCTGTTCTTCATCCATTCTTAGTGAAGCCAACCGTGGGTTTAAAAATGAATCCGACCACAGTGTGATAATTGCCACGCGAGGAGATAAGATTTTTGTTGGTGCCCAACATTTCGACCGGCGGTTATTGTGTTCAGTTACAAGAACGGTAACATTCATAATGAGGGTAAAATAACTCAAGCGGACTGTGGGCTCGCCTTGCCTCCGAGTCTCGACTCCACTTGCGCTGACAAAGCAAAAGTTTAGCTGCGGTCTCAAAAGAAGAGAAAGAGGACATGAACCCGATTCAGCACGGCGGTTGAAACGACCGATAGCGCGTCAAGCTTTGCGATAACAGCAGAGACGGCCGCTCGTCAAAAACCTTCTTGCCCAGGACCGTGATGTGTGGGCACAGAAGGTCAGGCCCGTCCGTCCCATCCCTCGAATTCCAAACTGCCCCCGGGGTGTTTTTTATAGTTACTATTGAATCACTGTCGAAATATTTGGAATTGTGCTGTGCTTGGAAAAGATACACTGACGCAGATTTTCAGAGTCTTTGACCTGGGGAAAGTACAAGATGATTGGGAAAATGAGGTTGGTAAAAATGCTTTTAGATGTAAAGAACAACATCTGTGCAACGTGTAAATTTGTATGGTTTTTTTTTCCATTTGAAAAAGGCCCGTGATTGACTGTACGTGTAAAATTTGTGCCATGTACTCAGTGAAATGTAATCAGTTCAAAGTATATTTTCATCTCTTCAAAATGAACGTGGGGAAACTGTATTTGGGGGAAAAAAAAAAAAAACACAAAAAAAAAAAAAACACATCCAAACATTTCCTTTCATTCATCTGTAGTATAACTCTTGACTCTGGGCTCTTGGTACAGATGAATGACAAATAGCTGTTGAATCTGCACGATAAGGACGCGTGACTGGACTGAGAGAAGCTTGCCGTGAAGCAGCTCGGTCTCTTCCCAAAAACGGAAGGGCACTTTTAGCAAAGCGGAAGAGCTCAGGATGCCTTTTCTGCACCCGTTTTTTTCTGTTGTGTTTTCAAGTAGAATGTACTTCCTCGTTTCAATGTAGTCTTGTCTGACGAGCTGTTAAGTTTCTTGAAAAAAAAAAATTGGTGTTTGTATGGACCAACTGTACTGAAACATTGCAACATTTTGTACTGTGAAGGTACCAGACGAATATTCAAATAAATCACTTTCACGGGTGCAATTTAAACCTCGGGGTTTCAGTCTGTTTGATATCATACTGTGCCATTGTATGTCTTTCAAACTGGCCTACGTGTATATAACAGCAAAAATCGTGAATAGAAAACGGCAAACTGAGTACACTTGTTTCATTGCAAGGAATTGATCTACCCCAAAGGGCTTTACAAAGCCTCACATTCTCCTTTTCACTCACACTGATACGCCAAGGGAGGCTTGCTGGAATCATCCGCTAACGACATTGCAGTTATGAAATTGTCATTTTTTTATTCTGGTGAATCACCTGAAAGACAGTTGTACAAACACTCAACACAACCAGTTGCTCCTTTTTTTTTTTTTTCCGGCAGGAGTATAAGCTTCCAGTCATAATGGGCTATATTTTCTGTTTCATGTCACAATCTGAAATCTGTATTTGCAATTGGAAATTTTTAATAGGTTGAATAGTATCAATTGTGATGCATCAATATTGCGCGAGCAGTTGGGGAGGAAAAATAATTCACATCACAGGATAATCTGTCAGGATAATCTTTTAGAGACATCCTCCCTTTGCTGACCTTGATCGGAAAGGGAAGCGGGGGAAAAATGCGAAATGTGTCCCGAGTGTCGGTATGTATTGTATGTAGCTTGCGTTTTCAAATGCCATGGCATATCTGGAAGCGACGCGAGTGGAGGGAGAGAGCTGATCTGAGGAGACACGTGAAGCTGGACAGAAACAGGAGCAAAATGACAGCACAGGTATATCTTGTAACAACGCAATGGATGAACAGGCACGTTGAGAAGAGAAAAAGCTCATTCAAATGGATTCTTCATGACTAAAGAAAAAAAAACTGTGCACAAAGTCCTTACCAACAGCCCCACAAATCAATTCGCAAACAATCCTTAAAGGTCCAGAGGCCGAATGATCCGCAACAATGTCTCAAGCTATCAAGACTCAAGAACATTGATTTTGAAATTTGAGGCATCCTGACTCAAAAACACCCAAACAAAAAGTCTTCCTGTCTTTTGATTTGTTACGCTTGTTTCTTGTCCCCCCCGCCCCCTGAATTTTTTTTTTTTTTTTTTTTTTTAAATCAGGGACTGTAAAAGCGTTGATATCCTCTTGTTGATGTAACCACCATATCGTTAGTGTCCGGATGCTATAATAATTAATAAAGGAACCGAAATGTACACGTGCGCGCACACACACACACATACACACACACACACACATACACACACACACACACACACACACACACAACCAGAATGGCTACGCTCAGAAGTCTCAGATTCAGCTCACGGAGGAAGAATGAAATTGTTTCAAACACATACTTGTGATGCAAAATGCAAAAATGACAACAACAAAAAAGGCAATCTTTACATTGTTTATATAAACAAATTCATAAAACCAAGACCCCCTGCCGATTGAGAGTCCTGGGTATCTGCATAGTGCATGCAAATATCAATAGGATGTTCAGTTTATTAAGTGGTTTTGCTTGACGTTTCAAGGGAGAGCAGGTTGCAAGGCCTCCTACCGCACTGTCTGACTACTGTTGTCGTTGGGAGTTCTTCAAGCTGAATTCTATGGCCGTTCACCATCAACTCCCTTGATATTTGCATACAAATTGGAATAGGATTAGAAACATTATTCATTTCAGATTTCGGTGGCCGTACATTCAAAGTTCATGCGATTTCGAATTTCATTGCATTTGCATTGCATTGCAAATATTGCACCATGACCCAATGCGTAACACTTTCTGCACAACGTGTGCAGCCATCGAGTGTGCATTGGCAAACGAATGTCAACTACTAATTCAAATGACTAAATAAGCAACAGCATGGGTACGAAACGGCAATAACTCAAAACCATTTGAAAAAAAAAAAACCAGAATAACATCATGTTGATTTGAACGTAAATAAGATTACCTCTGGACAATGCTCGCTCCCAACAAGGTCTGTCCGGGTCGCATTCCACAGCGGGTTGCAATCAGCATGCTAAAAACAAACAAGTGAATGAGCTCACCAGTTCACTTTTTGCTTTGTTTTTTTTCCAGTTGCAGGGTAACACAAATGGCACGTATCTGTCCGGCAATTAATACGTCTGAAGCAGTTAAAACTAGTATACCGGCAACAGTTCCGAGCAGGAAGTCAATTACCCAAACATTCCCTGGTGAGTGGCTTGCGACGAACATGAACGGAAGTGACGTCGGAGGCAATACAACGATACCCTCCAACGCCAGACGTGATCACGTGATTATCGCACAACTATAAAAATATAGAAAGGGGGAAACGAAGGCAACAATATATTTTACTCATAATGTAAACGTTCAAAGCCATTCGATTATATACTACAACAATGTATCATCTATTTTATATAATAAATATCGAAAAATCACCCAGGTGACATTGAATAGGATTGCGATTGGATTTTCGCGTGAGTCACTGAGTCCAAATAAATAGATAAGTCCCCAAAGAAATTTCAACAAAGGGAAAAGCATCCTGAGGGTTTCCTTGAGATTCTCTCGCTCGCCAGTGTGCACGCGTGTACGTGCACGTACGTGCACGCCTGTTTCTGCAAAGCCTGCATTATTTATTTGCACTAATTAAAAGTAATCAATTCAAACGGGCATTGATAAAAGAGTCTTTATTGGGCTCTCCAGAATCCTTCACCGTAATGCACTTGGTGTCTTTCGAGCCCAGCTTGATTGTTTTGTTCCACAAAAGGCCCAAATGAATGAGAATGTGTTTTGTGCAGACACATCGATGCTAAGCACCCTGCAATGCTTTGGGATTTGGGAACCTCAAATACGCGGAAAATAATTTAGCTCATCAGCCAAAACTGCAGATGGCTGTCACTTACTGAAGGAAAACAACTTACGCCTGGTCAATGGGATAAAGGGATAAATCAACATCTTGAAGCAAGCATGCTGTACTTCTGACTTTGTGAACTGTGCAAGCCAGAATGAAAACTAAGGAATACTTTAAAAAGTACTGTTCATATCATATTAGTACTATCTGTACTCTGAGCAATATGAACATTTCATATCTTGAAACCAAACTTTCAGCCATCTGTTGGAAAGCCGAACATGGACGCGGGAAGGACTTTCATTTTCTCTTTTCAACACGATGCAAATTGAAATGAACAAAAGTATGGCTTCACCAGAAGAAGATTAAGATTTTGGAATGCCCCGAAGGAATCTGTTGGTTGACTGGCAGAGAGCTGTGCACAGGAGAGTGCCTGCCAATTTGGAGTGGTTTTTTTTTTTTGCATGTAAATCAGGTATGTCAGGATGTGCAATACCTCAAAAGACTGCATTCTGTTATGAAATTAAAAGGTGCAGCCTTACAACGAATTTTTTAATGGATTTTTTTTTTTGCTTTATTTTCATGTCATTTGTAGAGAATTTTCTGTATTTTTCTCACTTGTTTTATTTTTTAATGTCCACTACCCTTACATGGCATCTAGTAATGTCTGCACAACACCAACAGTGCCATTGGCGGTGGGTGGCCTGGCTTCATTCTTTATTAATCAGTCCAAAAAAAATGTGCTTGTGTTTTGTATTGCGATTGCGGGGAGGAAAAAAAAAACCCACTTGTCAAATCCTGTTTGTTTATAGCAAGCAAAAACAAGGACCCTCCAACAAAATTCTCATTTCTCTTCATACCCTCGGGGACTAGGAAAGAAGCAGAGTGCCTGCACATAAGAACATGAAGGTGACACCTTGCTGTCAGATTAGTTCAAGTTCAATTTGCTTTGGGGCATTCGGGTGGTGCGACATACACCGGATCTAAACCTTAATAACGTGGTCAATTTTTCATCGTCACGTGACTGATATGCTTCACTCAAAATACAGTTAGTCAAGTTAGTTTTGAGCCAGTGGTTTGATGACTTGGGACCAAAAAAACACAAAGGCATGAGGCTTGACTTTGACTTGGGTGACTGCATGATGACTTGAGCCATCTTGACTTGATTGTTCATTTTTAATGCTTGGTTTAAATAAGAAAATAGCCAATCAATTTGCAAATGAGACTACACCGGAGCAAACTGTCATGAGTGAAGCTTTGGCCTGCCAGTCAGGGATTTGCACTGCCATGATTGGAGCACTTGGCTGTCAATCAATTAAAACCTCCTCACGAGGAACAAGCAAGCGTTCCGATTTGACTTGTGAGCTCAAATTTTCCAGATGCATTTTTTAGGAAAGTAGAACATCGGTGGTTCCTGAACCTGTATGTTTGTCAGTAAATGTGATAAGTGCAGGATGAAAATTCGTTAATTCCGTAACTGAATTCGTGTATGATGCATTTGTAATCCACATTTTTCGGCATCGTCGTGAACTGACGACCCCTGGAATTTTTTTTTTGAACAAAACCCGCAAAAACAAGACAGTCTAGTGATAATGTGGAGAAGTTTAAACCAACGTTCGGATAGAAGAAGGAAGTGGAAAAAAAAAGCGCATGGAACATGCAAACAAAGAAAAGTGCAAAGCCACCAAGAAATTTGCATCCACAAAGAAGAATAGACAAAAATGTCAACCCCAAGATGTGCAAAGCGGGTAAAGCCCACTAAAGATTTGCTAATGTCACTGCAATAAAAGAAATTGTTGAGAGTGAATACTTCTGCACGTGGCACTTTACAGATTTTTATTCGTAATGACAATCATTTTACTTCCATGTCACCCGTGCCCCACATTGTGTTGGTCTATCACACAAAATCCGAATGATACATGTGTGTGGTTGTAACCCGGCAAAATCTGGGCTACGTGTCAATATGATTTTTTTTTGCAGGCTACTCCATGTTCATATTTCAACCGAAATATGAAAAACAAAAATGTACAGCGCGTGAATATCGAAAGGAGAACAAATGATTGTGTGTGGAGTCTTTTTGACATTAAAGTGATCCTGTCTTTTTGTTTTTTTTTCCCCCCCGGTATCATTTTCGCTCTTGTGCACCGTTTGACTGTACTTACCATGCTGAACTATCGATTCATGAAACAAGTCTCCTCGTCATTTGACCCGCAAAGCTGTCATGCGGCAAAGTGTTTATGTTTCAGGTCGGTGAAGTGGAAAGGCGTTATCTTCATTTCAGTGTGCCCCTTCTGTGTCGTGGTGAAGTGACTGTTCGGTGTTGTGGTTTTCAAACGGTGCTCAGGGCGGGGGAAGACTCTCACTTTTGATTGCGCCATCAGTTCACCACATGTCCCGCTTTGTACATTTTCATCCATGCATTAGTTTATTCATATCAAGATGGAAACGCCTGGTAGAGAAAAAAAAAAAAATCACGTAAAATGCAGACGCACGCCTGATTTTCAGTATTTTGTTCGAATCAGTCCCAGGTCTTCCTGCATGGAGATTGTATGCATGTGATATGTACGTGAACATGCATGTTAGGTTAGCCGGAGACTTTAAATGGTCGTTTGTCTGTATGAGCCCTCACATTGAAAATAATCCTAATAATAAACAATGAGGTGTGATTGAAAATAAAAGGAGAGCGATTCGGTTATAGGGCGGCCGGCGCTTGTTCAAAGCGGCATCGCCTGGCTTCTAAAACACAGGGTATTAAAAGCGTTTGAGATAAAGGCTGACATTTTGTAGGAGGCTGGAAATGGGAGTCGGGAGTTGGGAGTTGATTTAAGAGCTTAGATTAGAGGCCTTTGCATAAGGACATTTGGGACAGAATCAATGCGGGACAATGCACTCGCTCCATTGGAGAAATGATGTGATGTGTCGCTTGATCCGATGGGCTAAAAAGTTTCCAAAGACATCTTTAAATGTCTCTGGAGACTCCATACATTCAATCTTAGGTACTTACTTGTAAATATATTTTTTCCCAAGATTTAGATGTGCATCTTTTTCAAACCACATCCTATCTTCAAACAGCCTCGTACACGAATACAAGTTGTACTATGATGAACGTTTTGTTCCCGTCCCAATTTGTGTGTTCATTCATTAAATTGTGTCGCCACGTTTCGTTTGAACTGCATGCCGTGAGGAGGCACGAGCTGATGCAATTGCATCCAAGTTCTTGCATGTGCATCCACTCTATTGTTTTGATTTGTTATTGCCTTTAGTCGATATTAACACCACGGCTTCCAATTTGCCATCCAACGATTGTTTTGCATCCAGAGTCCTGCTCTCGGATGCATTACGGACTTGCAGAAGGCGCGAAAACTCACAATGCATATATTCGGATTCAGGAAATGTCGCTAATGGCTCTGATGTTCTCCACTGCACATTTTTTTTTTTTTTGCCCAGGAATAAATATATAAAGCAGGTGAAAGGGGTTAGGGCAGAGATGCATGTTATATAAGCCACCTTACCTGTTACTGTAGCCCATGTGTGGCATGCTCTGATCTGGAAGATCACTTGTCTTGTTAGCGCTGACCTCTGTGTGTCCTTCCTCTCCTTTTCATCTTTTTTTTCCCCATATTTAGTAGCTTTCATTGTGTATTGTATGAAGTGGAGATAGTTCTTAGTTCCACAATGGGGCATTCATTGGTGTGTGTGCATAGCATGCAGGAAATAGGACTCCAAGGATGATACTTGAGCGCCTTTTCAATGCATATTTCAGCGTCTATCCAGTTTCTTTGAATGTCTATTTACGCCCACGTTCATAAATTGATATCATTGGTATTCATGTGGTCCATATCTGTTTACATTTTATGAATACCTGAGACGACAATGTGTGCAGATGACCAAAGAGTAGGAAAAAAAAAATCAATGACAGTTTCCTTTCAGAATTCTGTTAAGGCGTCACGGGTGGAAACAGAGTAGCGAGGAGGGACAGCTTGGAGAAATGAATCGGTTGCTCCTCGATGTCATCATTTCATGAAGACGTCAATTGAAGGAGTCGCGTCATTGACGGGTGTCACAGATCAATCGCCCCGGGGTGGCTGAATCATTGCCATCACAACACGGAGCCGCTAAACGTTTCACGTCGCAAGTGGATTTAGAGTCGAGTCAAATATGATCAACGTCATTTCCCATCACAACTTCAAAGTTGTGCTTCGTTTACGATTCAGCTGCTACGCGCCCATTTTTCAACATCATGAGCTGACCTTTAGTGCTCGTATGCTAACTGGTAAAAAGCCGCTCAGAACGTTTGGATTTGCAGTTATCCGCCGAAAAGGAGCCGTGTTTTTTCTCCTGCGTGAGTTTATAATTGTTTTGCTTTCTGTTTGTTGTGCTGCCTTCAT